AATGCCCCAGCAGTATTTCAGGAATTTATTAATGACGTCCTAAGAGACTTTATTCACACATTTGTAATTGTATACTTGGACGACATATTGATATATTCTACAGATTTGCACACTCATCACAGACATGTCACAACGGTTCTGAAGACCCTTCTTACTAATGGTCTTTATTGTAAACTAGAGAAATGTTTATTTGACCAATCCGAAGTCCAGTTCTTGGGGTATTTGATTTCCGCCAAAGGGTTTCGTATGGATCCCCAGAAGCTTTCTGCTGTCATAGAGTGGCCTCTACCACAGGGTTTGAAAGCAATTCAACGTTTTCTTGGTTTCTCTAACTATTATAGACGCTTTATTAAGGGTTTTTCGTCTATTGTAGCACCTATCACCCGTATGACAAAAAAGGGTGGTAATACTCGTGTCTGGTCTCCCGAGGCACTTCAGGCTTTCGACTTTCTTAAAACTACATTTGCCTCTGCACCTATTTTACAGCACCCTATCCCCTCACTGCCTTATATTCTTGAAGTTGATGCTTCTGAAATCGGGGTAGGTGCTCTTTTGTCCCAAAGAGAATCGCCTGAAAGGCCATTGCATCCTTGTGGCTTCAAATGTCCAAAGCTGAAAGGAATTATGATGTGGGTAATCGTGAACTCCTTGCTATTATCTTAGCTCTTAAAGAATGGAGACACTTGTTAGAAGGAACTAAGGATCCTATCCTCATTTTTACAGATCACAAGAATCTATCCTACCTTGGTGAAGCTAAAAGATTATCTTCTAGGCAGGCTAGATGGTCACTATATTTGTCCCGTTTCAATAATATTATCACCTATAGGCCAGGTGATCGCAACATTAAAGCAGATGCTCTGTCCAGACAGTTTGAAACTACTGACAAACAGGAGGTTGATGTTACTCCTGTCATTCCCCCAGACAGGATAATAGCCACTACTATGTTGTCTATTTCTTCATCCCTCTTGCAGACCATACAGGCGAAACAAAGTATGGCACCTAGCGAGAGGCCTATTGATAAATTGTTTGTTGATGTTCCAGAGAGACGGGAGATTCTGTCATTATATCATGATACTAAGACTGCTGGACATCCTGGTATTACCAAAACGATGTCAGCAGTTTCTCGATATTTTTGGTGGGGTTCCTTACGCAAGGATGTCACTGACTATATAAGTGCTTGTACTACTTGTGCATGTATGAAAACGTCTCGTAGAGTTCCTTGTGGGCTTCTGCATCCCTTACCAGTTCCGAGAGACCTTGGTCTAACCTATCCATGGATTTTATTGTTGAATTACCCCCTTCGAATGGTAACACAGTCATCCTGATGATAGTAGATCGGTTTTCCAAGATGGCTCACTTTGTGTCTCTTCGCAAGTTGCCCACATCCAAGGAACTGGCTCTTGTCTTTGCTAGAGAAGTATTTCGGTTACATGGTATTCCTGTATCTATCGTGTCCGATAGGGGTAGCCAATTTATTTCCAGGTTCTGGAAAGCCTTTTGCTCAGAAATGGGTATTTCTCTCTCATTTTCTTCCGCTTACCATCCCCAGTCTAATGGAGCTGCTGAACGTGCCAACCAGTCTCTGGAGCAGTACCTTCGTTGTTTTGTGTCTCACCATCAGGACAATTGGTCTGACCTGCTTCCTTGGGCTGAGTTTGCTCGGAATAATGCCACTCATGATTCTTCCGGCAAAAGCCCTTTTTACGTTGTCTATGGCCAGCATCCCGTTGTTCTTCCGGCTGCATTCTCCTCACAGGGCATGCCAGTTCTGGATGAGCATTTGGCTGGTTTGCGTAATACTTGGGAGCAGGTTCAGCGTTCTTTGGTGGATTCCGCTGCTCGCCAGAAGGCTCAGGCTGACAAGCATCGCAGGGCGGCTCCTACTTATGTTGTGGGGGACAGGGTTTTGCTTTCCACGCGGAATATTCGCCTGCGGGTGCCTTCTATGAAATTGGCTCCCCGTTTCATAGGTCCTTATCATGTACTGCATAAGGTTAATCCTGTTTCATACGCCTTGGGTCTTCCTAGGAACCTGCGTATTCCTAATGTATTTCACACCTCGTTATTGAAGCCTTACGTACGCAACCGCTATACCCGGCATTCCCCGCCTCCACCTCCTGTCTCTGTGGAGGGTCATGAGGAATTCGAAGTCTCTGCTGTTCTTGACTCTCGTTACCTTAGGGGTCGACTTCAGTACTTGGTGCATTGGAAGGGTTATGGGCCTGAGGAGCGCAGTTGGATTTCAGCTGATGCTGTTCACGTTCCCCGCCTTGTGCGTTCTTACCATTCTCGTTTTCCTGCCAGGCCTGGCCCTACCAGCCCGGAGGGCGTGTCCTCAGGGGGGGGGTTACTCACCTTATCCAGGGGCCGGCCACGGTCCTCTCTTCGAGCCGCGCGCGGTCCTGCTGCTGCACGAGCCGCGCGCGGCTCATCCGACGGCCTCAACAGGAAGGCGGGCAGTGACCACGAGAAGCGGTCACGTGTCCCGCCTGAATCTAAGAGCGCGTCGCGAGTCTCGGGTGCGCTCTTAAAGAGACAGTGGGAGCCTAAATTGTTAAAAGGCTCCATTGGCCCCTGTCATGCCACACTCCCCATACACTTACCTTTTGGGGGTGTGGATATGACAGGAGCCAATCACATTAGTTTAGAAGCTATATATACTTACCTCTCCCTTTACTCCCTGCCCTATCGTGGTTTCTGTATCAGTTCCCTTTAGCGCTTGTGTTCAGTTGTGTTTCTCTGTTTTGACTTTGGCTTTGTTTCTGACTACGTTTTCTCTTTATCCTTATCTGTTCTGGTTGTCGGCTTGCTGTTTACTGTGTACCAGACCCCGGCTTGTCCTAGTTTACGCTGTCTCTCTGTGTCCTTGACTTCGGTTCGTCCCTGACTCTGCCTCCTCTCATATACGTCGAGTCCGGCCATTCTAAGGTCCGGTAGACGTATCTCTCCTCTGTGTTGTCTTCTGTTTAGCCGAATCCTGCGTGTTGGGGTATATTCTCGTTACATTACCTTCAATGCCGACCTCTCAGGGAGCACTCTGGCCTGGCGCAAATCCCTTAGACCACTAACCTTAATCCTACAGCACAATCTGCGGTACCAATGGCGCCTCTCCTGCACACTTCTGTTCTTTCATGGGAAAACTACTCACCATATTCAAGAACTCCAGGAGGCCACAGCTCTGCTACAAACTCTGGGTCTTCCGAAGGACTCCCTCAATCAGAATAAGCAAGCAGAGGTGAAACAGCACCCACACACTTGGGACCCAGATCGAATCACCCCTTTCATACCTCAAAAAGCCATGCCTGAAACTTGCGCAGCAGTGATGACCTGAAGGACTTTGATCTCTCACCCCCAGAGAATCCCTGGGACAAAATAGTCTCCACTCCAGTTTCTGTTACATACTTTTAATTTTAACAAGTTGAATCTCCTCCCTCATACGAGACCTTCCCATGCCCTTCAATTTTCCTCATATTGCTAGACCACCACACTGGCCCCCACGTAAGCCCTCTCACACTATAACTACTAAAGCACACACTAAAGTCAAGCCCTCTCTATTCTGCTCATAACGCAGGATTACCTACGTAACTAACACCTAGCTTGACACTGTGCCAAGTACACGGTCCCCACAAAGAGATAGCACTGCACCCACTGGAATTGGTGCAAATGCACATACTACTCCTGGCTTAATAAAAATAAAGATGTATAAATAAAAAATAAAAAAAAGTCGTGTGTGGGGTAATAAAGTTCAGTTGACTCCCAGAACTGTGTGTTGACCAGTTACTGGGGGATGGGCTATATTCATTAACCACCGCTTAACTTCCAGCTCCAACAGATTCCAACGGAGAAATTCATTCTCAGCATTGCAGGTCCGCTACACAAACTGACAGGAATGGGGCTCCAACCTATGGAACAGATAATCATAAAAATACAAAATTAATTTGTTCTGTGTTGGAACACTCGCTATTGAGTTTCCCACTGCTACCATGAGTCAAAGAACTAACAGGGAATTTTATATAATTAATGTTCAAGGCCAAGCAGCCCTTCACAAACCTAAGGTAGTACCTTCCAATGCAGTATAGGTTCTGGTGCAGATACTGAAGTAGTGCATTATCTTGAAAGATGATTCCTGATTTATCACCTGGAAGTCCATTAGACAACTCTTTCTCCTATTCCAATAGTTTAACTTCTGGACCTGTGTGATGTTTCTTCCATTTATTAGTGATTTGTTAATCTTGATATACAGAACATTTCTCGATAAGGAAGGTGAAGATATACAATATAATGAGGTTATTTACCATGGATAGTGATCATGTTACTATAGTTATAGTGATGTGGGTAAAAGTATATAAAATTAATTTCCTACATTTCAAGAACCGGGTGAGAGACAATGAATAGCCTGCATAAGTAGGCAGGCCCCTACTATTTGGAGTAATTAACAAAGAGTGTTCCACATGTATTGCAACAAACTTCACTAACCTAGATTGTCTGAGAACAATCCAAGAACATCCGTGACTATTCCTATTTTAACTGACGCATTTTATGTGAATCACATTTCCTCTTAAATATTGCTTGGAATCCAAGTTCTAACCTGACACAAATTCTCATGTAACTACAAGGACCTAGAACAAATGTTGGCAGCTTTTCACTCACACTTCAGTGTTATTTTTCAGGCATATTGCTCAGCCCCAATCTCTTTAGCATTGTCGACGGAAAAATGCCAGTGTCTCATGCCATAAAATTACATGTGCAGTTTGCTCGTTTGGAAGCCAAAACAATTTGCAATTAATTGATGTTTTCAATATAAACAGGCAGGTGTTTAATCAGAATAAAAGATTTTTTCACTTAATATTCAAAAAAAGTTTGAAATACAATCTTTTTACATTAATAATCTCCAGAGTGAGAAATAAAACAAAATAAAAAAATAAAATCTCACATCCTGACTATAAAGAACAAATCTGCTGGCCATGTCCTCGTATTCACTGAATATTAAAAAATCCTGGCAGAAACTTTGTTTCCGTCTATAATACTGGTGGTGATATAAAAAATGTGTTGCATCTTTTCCAGGCTGAAATAATTCGACGAAATAAAGGCTTAAGTAATGTGTTTCAAGTAAGAAACATAAAATCAACGGGTTAAATCTCTCAATGCTGATCCAGCCCAATTTCTTTGCTCCGCCAACGACTGTTACTGTCCCGTTCTTGCACCTCCATTCCAGACTCTCATCTACAGGACTTTTCCAGGGCTGCCACCTTCTTAAAGAATGTCCTCCCATGGAACATCTGACTCTCCTCATCTTTGCAGTCCTTCAAAAATCCATAAAAAACACACTTCTTTAAAGAAACCTATTAGCTCTCTCCTTAAAACCTCCCTCTGCTATCTCCCATCTCCAGGTACATTCAGTTGATTCCATCACTTTCTTCTGTGTATTCGTCCCTCATTCCTTTAGATTGTAAACTTGGGCCCTCTTCTACTACTGTCCATGTATATATATAAAAAATGTTTTGTTAGAATTAAATGTTAATCTTGTTTACCTATCTTGGATCACTGTGGAATATCTTGGGGTTAAATAAATAATTGTAATTGAATCTTGGTGAGTTTAGAAAACTGGATGGTAACATTTAGGATGTGATCAGTGTGCTTGGAAAATGGCCCAAAAATTACCAATCTGAGAATTTACATTTTCAACTCATTTGTCAACATTTACTGCTATTAACGTAATTATAAACTTCAGGCCAATAAACTCTTAAAATTTTAGGTTTCCATTGTACACTGATCACATTGAAGATTAAAACCACTGACAGGTGAAGTAAATAACATTGATTATATCGTTACAATGGCACCTGTTAAGCCGTGGGATATATTAGGCAGTGCCTCCCATGGATTGCGTTAGAAGGAGCACCTGTAAGGTCTACCAGCTGTTTGGTGCTCTCCCTGAGCACTCCCTGTCAGACCAGGTAGAGGATACAGAAGTTCCTCTACTACGGCCAGGACTCGGCCATGCTACAAGCTGTGACCAGCAGCAGGGGAGCTCTGTGCTGTGCACTCCCCTCCTGCTGGTCACTTGGAGACTGCCCGTTGTGCCCAAAGCTGCTGCCTAACCACCTAGTAGTTGCTCTGGCCCTGACTTTAATTAATCACAATATGTGAAGATTTTGCTTCATTGTTCTCCAACCAAGCATTAAAAGATTTTTCCATACCCATCCACCAACATGTGCCAATATTTACATGGTCTTTTTGGTTGTAATGGTACATAACAGCTAAATATAATTAGGCTAAATATTTTTGCTTGCATAAAATTTGACAAAAATATCAAAAATATATTTTTTTTAATTGATATCGATCTACGTCATAAAAGAGATGGCCATTGTTTCCAAATCTTTTAAGCTCTACTCTGAGATGTCCTGTACTGTAGTTTACATACACACAGCCACAATTTCCAATATCCATTAATAGAAGACATGTAACGAGAGAGGGGATGGTCCTAAATAAGTAAAGAAGTTTAGGAAGGGTGATGCAAACCTCCTCATATCTAGTCTACACGCTCTGTACAAACCTGTTGAAACATTTTTGAATAACATTGGATTCCTAAATACACACGATATGTTCTTCCATCAGCCATGGATCTTCTTTAAGCTGTCTGGCCAATTTAATTTATAAGACTTATGGTTTATTAGTATTACTTTTATGATATCCTATTTTGCTGTTCTCCAACAATACCCTAACACTCACCTAATGATAAGCCTTACTTATCTGAAAATGGGTTAATATTTGATTATCATTCTCTAAATCACAACTAACCTAGTTTTGGCTTGCTACACCTAAATCTAACTTCTTAAATTCTGTGACATTTTTACTGGGAGCATAACACGATACAAACCATAAAATTAATGTACTGTCATAATGATGCCATGTTTAGAGGGGCCCCATACAGAATCCTAGACAATCAGGTCTGCACCGTTCCTGTGGAACTCGCTTCCCTCCTCCGTTAGATGCTCACCCAGTCTCCATTCCTTCAAAAAATTGTTAAAAACCCACTTCTTCATAAAAGCGTATCAATTAAACTGTTAATAGCTCCTGACTGATTCCTCTTCTGCAACTGTCACTAGTCTAATACTATCCTTACCTTTTTTGTGTCATTTTACCCCACTCCCTCTAGCATGTAAGCTCATTGAGCAGGGCCCTCAACCCCTCTGTTACTGTGTCACTATACCCCACTCCCTCTAGCATGTAAGCTCATTGAGCAGGGCCCTCAACCCTTCTGTTCCTGTGTGTCCAACTTGTCTGGTTACAACTACATGTCTGTTCGTCCACCCATTGTAAAGCGCTTCGGAATTTGATGGAGCTATATAAATATCATAATAATAATAATAATAATCAGAGAATATGTAACATTAATTGTCTGACGAGAAACACACAATGAGTAGACAACAATAAACATATGTCACTGGGAGAAGACAGGGTAGTGGATACTTGCCAACCAAAGAAGAAATTAATCCTTTCAATCGCATTTCAAGGAAGTATATCCATTTAGGGATTTACAGCATTTTTTCACAATCTGATAAAATAAATCAAGATAAAGAAAGCCAGAGGGAATAAGGAGAGCCGGTCTTGTTGGACACAAAAATGCATTCTCTAACCCCTCTAAAGAAAATATACTCATTAAATGTTTAGCAATTTAAGTTAAATGTAGGAGAAGGAAGGGGCTCAGATATAGATGCGTGGAAATATACCCACCACAATAAACTGTGCAATTCACATGTACCCATTCTGAGAGACTGGCCTGCAGGTTCTGGTCTCCGGTATCACTGTTCTATGTTCGGTAAGAAATGTGAACACTCCGTATTATAAAATATATATATAGTACAGCCACATGTGTTTGAATTTTTCTTTTTTGTAGTTTCTACACTTTTTTTTTTTAAAATCTAAACCCCCTTTCACCAAAACCAGCCCTTTTTACCTTCATCAGAACCTGAGACTTGCAGCCGGGGTGTCAAGATAAGCAATTTGTCCAAGTTCTACCCATGAAATGGTTAAATCTCTGGGAATTAAAGAATGCTAAGGATGTCTTATCTACTCTAAGTGCAGGAGGGGAGAGAAGAGTCCACTTACAAATCCTATAATTTTAAAAACCCAAAGTAACAATGTATAAATATCGCTAGGAAAGCAGTTGGCTCACTCCTCTGCATTGGAGAAAAAAATAAAAAAGAATCAAATTGGCAGTTAAAACTATTTTTCCTTTTTTACTGTTTCTGGCCTTTCGCCGCATCACATGCAAAAAAAACCATTTATTATTATAATAATAAAAGATAAATATATATATTTATTTATAAGAAATAAAAATGAGCCATCCATTACAGCTGAACACATTGAAACTGTCTGAATGTGAGCTATAATTTAACCTGCAGATCAAAAATAACTCACGTTGGCAACAGGCTCGTCACGATTATGCCACAAATGTCATAATACACACAAAACCGCTAGTTTCATTTTTTTGTTGTAGCAAATATTTTTATAGGACTTTTTTAAGCTACACAGAGTAACCACTTCTTATTTAGGATTTATTTGCAAAGTTTACGTATAAATTTAGTAACAACCATAACTAAAGTAGTAGAAATGTTTTATTGTATTGTATAATAGTGTAGTTTTTGAATATATTATTATTATTATTGACATTTATATGGCACCAACAGATTCCGTAGCACTTTACAATAATATGAGAGGGGTATTTAACTATAAATAGGACAATTACAAGAAAACTTACAGGAACGATAGGTTGAAGACGACCCTGCTCAAATGAGCTTACAGTCTGTAGGAGGTGGGGTATAAGACACGTTAGGACAGGAAATAGCAATCAAATAAGGTGGGAGTGAGGTAGAGCTGGAGGAGAGAGTAAAGTGCTGCCTTTTAGGAGAGAGTAAGAGACAGTTGTGTGAGGTAGAGGTTACTCTGGGAGGCCATAAGCTTTCCTAAAGAGATGGGTTTTAAGGCACTTCTTTTTTGTCAATGTTTATTTTATTGTGCAAATAGTGAACAAAGCAGGTTTGTCACGCCACGACAGCGGCACAAACCCAAATAGTAACATACATGTTATAACAATGTCATGGCATTCAGATTTCTTGCACATTTTTTGGTAAATGTAGATGGAAACATGATAGTCAGGTATGTCTAGGTTAAATGAGCATATAACAGTTGGTTACCTTGCGAGAAGGTCTAGACATATGTCACAAAAAGAAAAACAAAAACATTAAAACAGTAGAGTGGAATGCTTAGTTTAAATAACTTATAATAACTGACTTCCTCCCTGACATATATTCTAGTCTGGGTGAGAGATAAGTAACAGGCTAAGACTGGAGACTACCTCTGTTGAGTCATTAAACATGGAGAGAAACAGGTCTGGCAAACTGACAGCAGGATTAAATCAAATTATATGAGTATGCCTATGTAGGTGTGTGATTAATGATCGATTAACGTGGAGTAATGCCCCCTGGGATCCCCAGAGTGGTCAAGGACCCTTGCCTTGCTTCTAAGGCCTAGTGGGCAGTGGTGCATGAAGTAAGCCTATACATAACAATAGATCTGCTGAGGTTTGTAATGAACCCTAATGAGTGTGTTACTTGAGTCTATGGGTTGGAAGCAGCAGACACCTTGCCAGGTGTAGCCACTTGAGAAAGCCCCAAGGGGAGAAACGCGTTGTGGTTTTTATGCTGTTGTTAAAATATGGTATTTTGGCTACCTCACTACCTGCCTTTTAGCCATATACTTTTAGAACTTATTATTATTTATTTTTATACTTTTACCTGACATCTGGACCCATCACCTACTGTGGACAACCAACTAAAGAAATCCTTGGTGGAGTTTATGCCACCCAGGCTTGATACATAGCTCACTCTATTGTAAGTATAATTGTATTTACCTTGTTGATACTTACCTATCTATATAGAAAGCACTATTGGCTGCTTTTTTGTCATTCCATATGATCTACCTCATCGTTATCCTATTGTGATTTACCATCATTCTACTGTGTACCAAAACCAGAGGGATTTCCTGCAAGTGGGGATTGAATACCACTGCATGCTGTTTTACCTAGAGCTGGTTATAGCTCTACCATATGTGAGTTGACATCTTATCTAAGTGTTGTTTGTCCTGCTGCGTACTACCATATTGCACTATTGGTTTGCCTCTGTTTTTACTTCCTTTTCATATTCTGCTATTAAACGAAGCTACCAAGAAAGTCCAATACCAGGACTAGAAGATCTATTGCCACCTTTCAGACTGTGCCG